ATAGCCGCAAATTTTAATTTGAGCCCCACTCAACGCTCAGCTTTCATTGGTAGCACCTGCAAAACCGATTAAATGTAATAAAACTGCAGGCGCAACACCCCTTCCCTTCCACCCACCAAAACCAACGCGCGTGTTAAAAAAATTAACAGACATTTATGAAAAACAACAATCCATATATAGAATGTGCGCGTCTGTGCAAATAAATAAATAAATAAACAAAAAAACAGCGCTCAGCGAGTCAGCAAGCTCAATTGTTGGTCCTTCAGCATTCGTCAGCTCATTGCAATGAATTTAAATTGTTGCATACATTCGGGCGCAACGGCAAAAAGGAGCTGCCAACTGCCACCGATGTAACAAAAGCCAAAAACAAATGGCGTGCTAAGTTTTTTTTTTTTTTTAACCCAGCCAACTGCGTTACAGCTGCGCCGCCCAATTCCCAACGCCTTGCCTTGCCATGGGACACACTCAGCATTTGGTCTTTTTTCGAACACTTGCATAAAATATGAATGCGTGCGTGTGTGTGTGTGTGTGTGCCACGCCCAGTGCGGCCGCATTGTTGTTGGCCCTGTTGGCCGTGTTTGCCGTCTGTCTATCAAAAAATGAAACAAAACTCAAATGGGGGCTCTGTGAAGTCCTCGACCAGGCAGCACCCAAAAATATACGAGCTTGCGCTACAGTTATAACAATAAATCAACAGCCGCTGCCAACAGCAGCACAGTGACTGCTGCCAGTATGTGTACGAGTACTGGCCGTGTGACTGCTGCTCTGTTTTAATATTGCACAACTTGTGCCACGCCTCCGCCCAAAGAGGCGGCCAGTCGCTTTAATGGTATGCCATTTGGCCGAAATATTTGTAAATGCGCCTAGCACAAAAAAAAAAAAAATCAAATAATAAAAATAAATTAATTTAAATTGAACACAAAACAAAAGTGAAAAATATAAAACGTTTGCGCTGGCAATTAAAAAATTGTCCAGGCCTGCAAATGCATAAAGCACAAGGTGGCTTTCATTTAATAAATGCAGCTTAAATTGCATTTAATCACCGCAACAATTTGCGGCACGGCAAACAACAAAAGCCAAAAGAACTATAAGCTTACAATTTCCATAGAATATTTTTTCAATAAGCTCCCGTTTGCTCTCTGGCAAGTCCTTGCCAAAGTACTGCAAGCGATCTTCGTATTATATTCGAATAATTTCTGCATAAATTCGGAACGAATAATGCTCTGCTGTTTTTGCAGTCTTAACTAAAGTTGATTTTGTTTAATTTCAAGAATAACGATTTTGCGGCTTGTGGCATGTTAAAAATTAAACATTTGCCGTTGCATACTTCTCGGGGCGGTATTTTTTTTTTTTCTCCCTGCATTGCTGCAACTTCTTCAATATTTATTTGGGTTTTCTCTCTCTTTTTTTTCGCATCGTTCGTTTCATTTGTGCCACGCGCGCACTTCCGGCGTGTTATTGCCTACTTGTTGTTGCTGTTGTTGTTGTTGCTGTTGTTGTTGTTGTCTGTCATTCAGCCAGCCAGACGGCGGGTTGTTGTGTATGGCCAACTTTGGCTGTCCGGCCAAGCTCACAGGCATTTCCGGTCGGCACAAAAACTTTTTTCACTCTCCTCCTGCAACCCGCAGTTATTCTCTATTGTGTTTTTTGTTGTTTGCGTCGTTTTTTGTTTCTGTCTTTTCAATAAAAGATGCAGAGGTTCCTGCTCATGTCCTGCCATTCACAAAGTTCAACCGTTTGCGCCTTTACGCTAAATTGAATTTAATGCCAAAGTCCTTTCTCTCTTCACTCGCCTCCAATCCAATCCAACAAGTGTCTTTTGTGTGTGTGAGTGTGTGTGTGTGTGGGATTCGACAAACAAACTAATGAGACGTCTGTCAAAGTCAAAGTCAAAGTTGGAGGCCCGACCAAGAATGAAAAAATACAAAAACTTTGCTACTTGCTGTTGCAACTGGAACTAAACAACTTTTGTACCCGTTTTCGTATTTGCAGACAAGGACATACGCGCACAGATACATGCCGCCGACGACTCCTACTCCTCGCATGGCGCCAGTCATCACCTGATCAGCTGCCGATTCCTGCAGCAGCCTGCCGCTGGCAGCGGCGTCGCCAGCGCTGGCGGCAGTGCAACGGCCGGGGGCAATGAGGCGGCCTTCTATCAAATTGAATCGCCGCCCTGTTACACAATTGCCACCGGGCTGCCCAGCTACGATGAGGCGCTGCATCATCAGCCACGTCATTTTGCCTACGGCATGAAGTTTGTGTATCCCAGCCTGGCGGCTGTGCACCATCATCATCATCATCACAGTCACAGTCACAATAATCAGCGTGCGTGCATTAGCAGCTGGGAGAAGGACGCAGTGCAGCAGTGCAGTTCGAATAAGCTGCAAAAGTGCAAACTGTCAGCAACAGACGAACAAACGCAGACACAGACGCAGGCACAGACTCAGACACAGACACAGGCACAGACACTGGAGGACAAAGCCTCGCCAGCCATTTGCATTAACATGCCGGATGAGCTGGAGCAGCGGAATGAGCTGGTGCATCGAAATGGGGCGTCCAGTGCAGCGTCGACAGCTGCGGCAGAAACTTTGCTGCCGGCGGCAGCTGTTGATGATGATTGCGCCTCATTGGTTGTTGTTGTTGCCGCGTGATTGGCCAGCAACTAAAGTGGGTTAAAGCAAGGGAAAAGGGGGACAGGGATTAGGGCTGGGGATGGGGATGGGGATGGGGATAGGGAATTGGGCCTGATTTTGGATTGGGGTTAGGGATCATGCTTACATGCTTAGTCACTTGTAAATAGCTGCATCAGCTGCCCCCATCAAGTTGGATGAATCTAAGCAGGCACCTATAAACACACCCACACTCACACACACACACACACACACAGTCACACACATTCACCAACTACAGCTCCTATATGTGTAAATGATTTGATTTCGTTTTAGTTATTTGTTATATCGTGTATTATGCAAGACTGAGTATTATTTATTGTATCTAAATAAAGTAATTTAAACAAATTGCCTATCGATTAAGCCTAAATGTTAATAAAAAAAATATCGAGAAAACAAAATATATATATATAGAAATATTAAAAATTATGCTAGAAAAAAACCATTCAAGCAATCAATATTTAAATCCAACACTTTTATTTCATTTATTTCTTTACTTTTGATCAACGTATGTCTAAGATATTAAATCCTGGCAACTTACGATTAAATGCAGCAGCTGCCAAGTCCTTTTTCAAGTCTGCCTTGCAGCAGCTGAAATATTTGAGTTTTGTTTGTTCGCCTCAAAATTGCGTACGTGATGTTGGCCCAGGCGGCTGAGATTGGCTTAGAGCAACAAAACGTGTGTGGCCCAAAGCATATACTAACAGCCAGTTAATCTAACCAACACCAAAAAAGAAAAAAACAATAACTGGCCAAGATAATCATGATGTGCGCCTGGGATAAGCTTGTTTGCATAATTTAATGCCAGAAAATCAACAAGCTGCGCCCAGGCAGGCAACATTATGATTTATATGCTTGTAATTCTCAAATAGTTTTGCAACTGGCTGCCTGTATATACAAATATTTCTTTATTTATTTATTAATTTTATCAAAGCAATCAAATTGTTGAAAATTGGTTTCATTTACAGTGGCACCTCTTGATCAAGCACAGTTAGTTCATAAAATGTTGCAGTTACTAAAACTAGAAAAGAAATAATAGAATTACGAAAAACCAATTAAATACACATATACGCTGAAGCTAAAAATCTAAACCTAAATGAACTTCATGAATTAACTAAATAAATAATTAAATATTGTCAAATATGGTAAACAAATATAACAAGTATGAAAATCAAAATAAATTCTCTTAACTGTTATTTGCCTGACTCGGGGGAAACTCAATTTACCTGCATAACCAGGTGAAGTTCATGTGCTGTTGTTAGCATAAATAATTTCATGTCAAATTTGACACTTTTGTTGAAGCTTCTGCGCCTCAGCTGCTAATGCTGCAATTTGTATTCAAATGTACGATTTGTTGATGAGTCGACATGGGACAGACCGACCGCCCGACTGCCCGACTGCTCGACTGATGGACTGATAGACGGATGGACTGAGTGACTGACAGACGGATGGACGTCGTAACACGCCACATCAAACATACCATAACGCAGCGGAGCAACAAACACCAAAACAGGGCCATAAATTATATTATCGTGCATCGTGTATCTGGTTCAGGTCACAGTCATGAGTGACTGCCAGCTAAACTGGCCAAAGGGGCGTGGGGCGTGGGGCGTGGTGAGCGGGTCTGGAACCTGGCACTGACATCAACACCAGCAGCAGTTGCAGTTGCAGTCAGCGTTGGGTTTGTGTCGCGGTCGTGTTTTGCGTTCTTGCCATGATTTGCTGTAATGCACAACAAAAATATCACAGCAGGCAAACAATTTGTTAGTAGCCGACTATCAGATACTCTTTAATAACTGATGATCGAAAAGTATAGACAACTATGTTTTAAACACTTATAAAATACTTACTAACAAGTCTTAAGCTGCTACAATAAATAAATACCCTTTGCATATTTTACTATTGGATGCAAACTTGCTTTTGATAAGGGACATTTTTTTAAATAAATTTTTCTAAAATTTCGCTATTCATAATTTTTTTATTAAAATAAATTTTAAGTACAAAGTCGAATAGGTGTCTTCCAGAACAGCTATAATACTTATACCTCTCTCTCATTTAAAGTACGCTCGAACAGTTAAGGTTCGCCAAGATGTGGGTCTGGATAGGTACGTTAAAGTATGTGTTACGGGTAATATATTTATCTGCTGTAGTCGTACGTTTTTATGGGGTCTGCACGTGCTCTGGTCGTAATTGGTCGAACGGTTATTCTTTCGTATTTTTCACAAGTGGAGTTCATTGAACAGGTGTTGTTGTGATTTGACTTTTGAGTGATAAATCGTTGGTTCAGTCATTTGTTAGTCACCTGTTAGTAGAAAGACAACTACAATGTAAGCGTAAATATTATTAGTTATTAATATTGATATGTTGTATGTGTAAACTGACAATCACAAATATCTGTTTATTGGCTTTCTGTATGTACAGTGTATGCTTGAAGGGTAAATTCGTAGCCCTCAAGTAGAATTAGATATTATTTAACGGTATCAGGATCTTAAGCTCTTATAGTCGAGATATTCACATTGCCATCCAAAACACTTGCACTTCCAAATCGAGCCTGCGGCAGCTTCCATCTGCACTTCAACTGCTTCATCTCCTTCTTCAGATCTTACGCTTTCCTCTTCGCTCGGCTCTTCCGTTGAAGTCTCCATCAGAGCCACCAGCATTGATACCTTCATCGCCCACTCCATCTGCCTCTTTACCAGTGTACTCAGGGTTTCCATCAGGGCCATCTACATGACCATTGGCAGGTTCGTTCGTATCTGCGCCAGCAGCGTTATTTACATAGCTCCCAGTGTCTCCATCTGCGCCTGCACTGCCGGTTTCTTCTGGCCTTATATATATGTCTGGATTGACTCCTGTTTCTGTTACTGCATTTGCTCCAACCTCACCTTCAATAACTCTACCACCATGACTACCTGTGTCCTCAATTTCACTTGCGCCTGAGCCAGCGCCACCTACGGGGTCCGCAGCACCGACAACTGGGTCACCACCAACAGGTTGATCACCACCAACAACTGCGTTACCACCAGTGTCACCTCCGATGTCATTTCCAAACTCACCACCGGTGTTACCCCCGGCGGCAGCATCGGTGGCATTACTGACATCTCTAACGTCTCCTCCAACATCACCACCAACGACTCTTTCAACGGCATCTCCAACGTCATTTCCAAAATCACCACCGGCATTACCCCCGGCGGCAGCATCGGTAGCACCAGCGGTGGCAACACTGAGATCTCTAACGTCTCCTCCAACGTCACCACCAACGACATTTCCAATGTCTCCTCCGACGTCAGCTCCAACATCACCACCAACGTCTCTTCTAGCCTCATCTGCAACGTCACCATCGGTTTTCCCCCCGGCGGCACCACCGGTGGCACCACTGATATCTCTAAGGTCTCCTCCAACATCACTTCTTACGTCACCACCAACGACATTTCCAACGTTTTCTCCAACGTCACCTCCAACATCACCACCAACGTCACTTCCAGCGTCACCTCCAACGTCACCACCGGCATTACCCCCGGCGACACCATCGGTGGCACCATAGGCGGCTCCACTGACATCTCTAACGTCACCTGCATCGTCACCAGCAACGATACTTCCAACGTCACCTCCAACGTCACCACCGGCGGCACCACCGGGATCATTTCCAGCGCTAATATTCCCTGAGTACTGGTCTCTTCCCAGCGGATCAACAGAATCCTTTCTATCTGAATTGTCTTCTCCGGCTGCACCGTCCACTCCAGCGCTTACTATGCCCTCTTGTTCATCCCCACCCATATTGGCACCCCCATCAGCATCTGCGCCTGCGCCCGCGCCTGCGCCGCTAGCATCGTTAGCAGCTTCTGCGTGTTGCCCGTGTTCAGCTGCGCCGCTTGCTAAATCTACATTCAATCTTTCAGCATCTTCAACTGCTCCATCATTTGCTTTGGATTCTTCGGCAGAGGCTCCAACAGACAGCGCTCCATCTTCATCTGCCGCTGCACCGGGCTCTGCGCCTTCTACTGTAGTTACACTGGAGGATCTGGCGTCATCGACAGCTAATTTGTCTCCCACAGCATTAATTCTGGCGCTTTTAGGTTCGTTGTCCACCACCCCACCAGCAGCCCCATCTGCCTTGTCCCCACTAACTACGCCAGCAACATGGCCGCTGCTCGCGTCGGCATCAGAACCTGCATCCGGGTTTTCTCGTGCGTTTAGCTTGGGGTTTTTAGGTGAATACAACCTTCTCCTGGACGCTTTACTAGGGCCTCTCTTGGAACCAGTTCCTCTATCATCGTCCCCACCCGTGTTGTAGCTTGGTTTTCTTCTTCTATTTGCGTTCGGCGCTTCATCCTCTTCTGCGTCCTCCTCTTGCTCTTGATCACGATCTCGGCCTCGACTTTTAACTTTCTTAACGTCTTCTTCTTTATCATCCTCTTGGCCGTCGTCTGCGTCCTTATCTTCGACTTCATCTTCGTTATCATCTTGGTCGTCGTCTAGATGACGCTGGCCTTGTACTTTATTAGCATCCCCTTTATCTTTATAGTCTTTAGGAGTAGTGCTGGCTGTTGAGGACGTATCGGTCATTGTGGAAAAATATTCCCAATCGTCGGGCGTGAAAGGTCTCTCTAGGATTTGCCAGTAGAAAGTTAACCAATATATAATAAGGAAGTCGTGGAAAAGAATTAGCGATCCCAGTAAGGCGTCGTTCAGACGCATCTCGGCGAATCGACCGCCGTTGATAGTCTGCGCATGGTACATCACAAACTGAGAATATGTCTAGAATTAGTCGAGCACCGATCCTCGAGTAATAAATGAAAACTTACAAACAGAATAATTATGGTCACAGCGACTTCGAAGACTATGTATGAATGTATCTCCACTTGGTGTACCAAGAATCGATACATCAAAAAATAGATGGCAATAGCTAGGAACAGAAAGCCAACAATGAATAATATGGCCACATCTAAGGTCAGGTCAAGCTAAAGGATATTAACACGTGTAGTTAAATACAGCAAGCTCTGCAATAATAAAAGCAAATACAAATACCCACCTTCCTCGGAAGTACCGAACCAATCAGTATAAACAGCCAAAGAAGCACAAAACATATAACAAAGAATATTATTAGATCCATCCAGTAAGTGCGAGCGACTAAGGCAAACAGCGCTATAATTTGCAGCTCGACCTGAAAGAAAATCATGTGGAAGTTAGGGCATTTCATGGCTAGAGATTGCTTGCAATAGAGAGTCTGGTAATTAAAACTTACAATTATTAAGCAGATTATAAAATTCAATACCGGGATGTAACGCAGCTTCTCAACGAATATGAAAATACCAAACAGGAGAACTGCCAAAATAAATGCCACAAAGCAGATATAATAGTACTCAATGAAGAAGTCCCGTATTTCATCTCTGCACGTAGGATACACAAGAATTCAGTATGTTAATAATATACAGAAATTATACTCACATGAGACAAACGACGGCCCACTGCAAAATGGCTAAAATCTGCCAGACAAACAAAAGTATATAGGTCTTAATGGAAAACCTTCGGCGCGCTTTCTTGTAATAAACATAGTTCTCGTAGGTGGCACTCATGTCGCTCCATTTATAGGACAGGAATCAGTAGACGAATTGTCTACGTAGGGCTCAACATTTACTCCGAATTTTGTGTGAAAATAAACTACAAGCAAAACAAGACAATTATCAACTGCGAATTTCACAAACACAAGACATTAATAATATTTCTGACATTAATTCTGACTAATCTGCCTAAAAAAAACCGAATCGAATGACATTTGTTTAGACAGCAGCCAAACTGGCAAAGGCAACTATTCGAATTAGTGCCAAGCAAAGAAGATACACGGAATATATAAGAGACTAAAAATCGAGATGATCAATGTTTTTCCTTATCATTTCATTTATTTTCTGCCTCATTCATCGAAAATATATTCAGCTGTCGAGGATTTATCTGCTGCATTCATGTCGTCGACTTCATTTTCTGGACTTGAATTGTCTTTTTGATGGTTTGGGTCTCTGGCGGGCTCTTCATCTAGCATTCCTTCGCCACTTGCTGGAGAATTTTGAACAGGATTCTGCTTTGACTCAGCCCATATATTAGCCCAGTTGCTGTCTTTAGGGACTCCTGTAAGGCGTTTATTGTCACTCGGTATAAAATCGTGGGTTATCGTCAAATCGGCTGTCTCGCAATTTGACGTCGGTCTAAATTGGTTTAATCTCTTCGGCATATACATCGGCTTAGCTATAAAAAGCGAAAAAGTCCATTCGAGAGACTGCCACAAGTTTTTAGAGTATCTGCTTGACTTACTCTCGTAATCGACAGCGAAATCGTCATCTCCAAGATCTAAAGCCCTGGCACTAGCGGTCGTTTTAGCTGTGGTCGTGCCCCAATCAGAGGGCGTGACCAGTCTGGCCCAAACCTGCCAGTATATTGTCAGCCAAAATATGATAAGAAAGTCATGGAACAGAATCAGCGATCCAAGGCAATAATCATGCAGTCGCATCTCCGCAAAGCGCCGCCCGTGAATCGTTTGCGCATGATACATGACAAACTGAGGGAAACTGGAATGCATTTGATGATGACAGAAGACTATTCCCAGCAACTTACAAACAACATAGTTATGCTGATGGGTATCTGGACGAGTACGTACGCATAGCCCTCGCACTCGGGCACTATCAGATGCAGCATAAGGAAGAAGACGGCGATGAGCAAGAAGAGAAAGGCCAGAATGAACAGCAGAGCCACATGGAGCGTGAGGTCCATCTGAAGCGAACGCACACGATCTATTGGAAATTCGCTTAGCAACAGGGCTGACGAATGCTACTCACCTTCCTGGGCAAGGCAATGCCTATGGCTACGAAGATGAACAGGAGCACGGCGCAGATAAAAAAGTACATGAGCATTTCCGCCCAATAGACGCGGGCGACCAGCGCGAATGTCGCAATGATTTGGAGCTCTACCTAGATGAAAGAAAGAGATTTTATTTGCAACTGGAAACGCAATCCATATACTCACAATGAAAAACGACATTATGAAGCCCACCACATTATTGAAACGCAGGTTTTCAAAGAACAGAAACAGTGCGAAGAGCAGAATGGCGATCAGAAATGTCGCAATGCTGATGTAATAGTGCTTCCAGAATATGTCCCTTATAGATTCGCTGTGATCGGGCAGTTCGAGTCAGCTGTAGAATGCCCCATTCGCTAGATTGCACTTACACTAGACAGACCACCACCCACTGCACCAATGCCAGGATTAGCCATAGGAACAACAATAAATAGGTTTTCACCGAAAACTTTTGTCGAGCCCTCCTATATGCATAGTAGACATTATGCGCGGAGTACATAGTTTTTGTCCCTGGGCTGGGCAACCAAACGCAACATTCACTTCAACTTAAATGCCATCCGCTAAGAGTGCAGTCAGAATATATGAAACTTAACAATTATGTTGTGTATTATGTGTATGGAAAACATTATTATTATTTTTATTTAATTTTTTTTTTGTTTTTGTTTTTTTTTTTTTTATTCACTTTACACCTATTTAAAGTCATAGCAAACTTGATTTTACTGCTCAATAGCAGCTTTGACTTTGTTTTTAAATTCTCAATTTTTAAAGTTGATTTTTGAATTTGCTTTGTTTTGCTCCACCTAGCGAAAGACCATGAAGTTAGGGTATAAGGTAGCTTCAGGGTATTTACCGTAAGAAAATAATATGAGGTGAAATCTTTGGAGTCGCCTCTTTGTAATGGGGCTGCCGAAGAAATTTATCTAATAGCTCACCTTCAATCTTTATATAACTCTTAGGCAAGTGTTATGCCGGTTTCCTGTTAATCGGATTTCGAAAGCTGCATCATTATTATAGGTAAATATCTTACAGACTTCTAAATGGGTTAGGACACATCATCTGCTATGCTATACATATTTCACGACAAAATTGTAGAATCCTCGACCCTTACCCTCGCCCAAGTCTTAATCAATATTTGCAACTACCGCTGATCTCAGCTAATTTGAAGCTCGTCAGCTCTCATAAGTCGGCACAGCTGTGAGACTTAGCTAGACAATTTTTGCAACTGAAGCGTTGACAAACAAAGGGATAGCAAGGGCAGGCAGACAACAAGCTAACACATAAAGTCAACAAAAATCAACATCAGATGCAAAACAGCAACAGCAACAACAACTTTGGTAAATGCAGCAAACTGATTTACGCTTGTTTGGCAAATTTGAGTACGTATAATGTGACTAACGTAAAGGCACAAAAACACGGCGAACTGTCAACGACAAGTGTTAAAAATGTCAAATAAATAATGCTAGAGCAGCAGCAACAGCAACAACAACAACAACAACAACAACAGGAACAACAAACAAGCACACTAATGAGCTGCCTGGCAAATGCAATGCAAACTCAAAGCTTGAACCTCGTACGCAGCTCTCGATCTGCCAGAGCAAAAGTTTTCCATGAGGCTTATGCAAACAGCCAAAGCAATCAACACCAACAGTCCCGCTTCCGCCCCCACCGCAACGTCTACCCCTACCACCGGCCGATTGAAGCCCCATTTGCATACAAAAACCGAAACGAAGCCAAGTCGTAAGCTAATGCCAGTCACAAGCTGTGTCGTCACACGGGGCGTATGCGCAACGCACGCTTAACACGCCTAGGCAGGCAGGTGAGCAGGCGGTGCTGGGGTAGGGGGCCAGGCAGACAGGTGGGCAAACCCGCTGCCAACAAAAAGAATCATTTAGCGACACATTTGGCATATCAAAATTGGATGCCCGGGTCCATCAAAATCAGCTGCCGTGTGCGTCGTTTATTAACTCCCAAAACTGACAACCGACAACCGACAACCGAGAACCGAGAACCGAGAACTGGCGATACAACGGCAACGCACTATATACAAATTATGTGCCGGCCACTATATAGTCCGTCTCGGAGGTTCAGTCTCCATCTCGCTGTCTTTAGCTGACTTGCATGCAAAATTAATTACGAGCAAAATTTATTTACGATGCTGACGTTGGCGCTGCCTTTGCTGAGCTTCTTCCATGCGCGCGCTGCCCCAGCCATAAAAGTTTTACGTTTTAGCCCTAACTGAATTTAGAGGCCGCATAACAGAGTCAGGCCCTGGCACAGGTCCGGGCCAGTCGGCTTAGATACATTCTCATAGCCATTTGCGGGGAACGCCATAAAACTTGAAGCACCGCTGACATTTTTGCTGCTGCATTGCAGTGCCGCGGTCGTGCTGCGGTTGTCGCTGCAGTTTTTACGAGCACTACATTTGGGGCATTTGCAACACTGGCTACCATCATAGCAGAGGGTACCCACTGCCCAACACCCAATAGAACAATCACAGCCGCCCAGTCGAAAGTGCGAAATGAAATTTTAATCAGCCTCAGTTCGTGTTTATGATTTGGCTGTAAAATGGAAGCTGTTGCTGCCGACATTTCATTCGAAAGCCTCTAATGCTGTTTATAACATGTTGGCAGAGTAATTTGGCATAGTAAATGCTGAAAATAACAAAAAGTCAGCAGGTTACAGAAATGCATAGAATTTCACAGAGATAATAAGATCCAGGGCAAAGATAATTAGACCCGGGTTCGAATCATAGGTTCAGGCATGCATGTAGCATTGCCTTAGCTGATGGACATAGTAAAAAAATAAAATTATTAATAATAAAATTTATTTATTATCTTGAAAATTCAAGTAAAACAATTCTCCGCTCTACTGAAAATATTGCAAGATGTATTTTTTCATATAGAAGCTGGAGGATAAATTCGAACTCTACCCCAAATTGTCAACTACCAAAAGTGTTGAAATAATTTCTACATAGACTTAAGACTTGAGCCAACATACTAAATTTTGTTTCTTCTTTAAATATTGCCCATAAAAGGTTAGAGATAAGTGTGATTTGTTATCACATATCTCATCTATGTAGATAAGCATACAAAGACTTAGCGTAGGTCAGGGTCGAGCTGTGATAAACAAAACTGTTGCTTGCATTTCAAAACAATCACAACAATGGCATTCAAACGACTCATGCCAACTGGTTGTTTAACCTCGTCTAATGCAAATATGAGTAGAGGCCACACCGAAGTGGAGCGGCAGGCAGAAGTCAGGCAGCCAGTGACAAGTGATAAGGACCACACCGGGCAGGCCTGGGCCACGTGATAAGGCAGCGACTATGCCAGTGGAGTAGGGCAGAGCGATGATAAAATGTCGCTGGCCAAGTTCAAAGAGCCGACGACACAAACGTCGTCACATCATCAAACAAAGTGAGCAACAAATTAGAGGCAGCAACTACCAAGAAATTCCCCTGGATTAGGCAAGATGCGTTGGCTTGCGTCATCAAATTTGTAGCTGGTTATCAACAGGCAGGCGGTGGCGACGGCGGCTGATAAGCTCGACCAGAGCACAAAGAGCTGAGGCTGTGCCCGCAACATGCCGTGGCCCTGTGTGAGTCATCCAACACGGCAGCGACCACGACTGGAACGTGACCTGGCACTTTGGTGGCATTCCATAATCGCTTAGTTTTTCCTGCAGCGCATTTTCGTTCTTTGTCCTTATCAATTTTACGACTTCCTTCTGGCCTGCACTCGCCACTCAGAGCTCTATTCCCGCGTCCAGACCACCGGCTAGCTGCAATTAGCCTGCTTTTCGATATTCGGATCGCAGCCCGTGACTCGCTTTTGGTATATCTCAGTTAATTGATATTTATTGCTGGAACACGTTTTAGAAACTTTTCTCTTGAAATTTTCGAAACACACAACTTTGTTTTTCC